GCTCGTTCCCGGGAGCCGTCGTCGCCACGGCCGGCTTCTTCTCGAGAGTCTGAACCGTTCGAGTACCCCTGGCAGGCAACACAGTCAACGCTGAAATAAGGAACAGTTTGGGTTCGGAAGGGGCTCGATGTTCCTTTGGTTCCTCCAGTGCTGTTCCTCTTGCCCTCCTGGGGCACGGAGGCGCTTTCAGGGCCAAGAAGGGGCTTCTTTCCTTATTTAGCGTCCCTTCTTTCAGCGGCCCGACTGTATTCCAGTACCCCCCTCAACAATTCAGCATGATCGCGTGGTGCCCGCGCGTGATCCAGCTCTTGCCGAAACGAGTGCTTTTCACATGTGTATGTGAAAGGGATTTGAAACAGCAAAAACAATTGAAAGGGACGGTCGGGGGGGGGATGGCATCACACACAGCAGGCAATATGCTGGCCCCCTGCTGCCCCTGTCAAAAAAATATGCAAAGTGATCGCGGGGCGTCCGCGCATGATGCACTGTTTTGTGCAGAGTTCATGTTGCGTTGGTTTTGGCAGGCATTGCCTTGGGGGGATTGGCATGGTCCCTGGTTTGTCCCCGGTCGGGTGGGGGAGGGGGTGTAGATGTATTTGTATGTGTGTATGTGTGTATGTCTATCTGTCTATATACATATAAAGAACAGGGATCAAGCTACAACCCGCACTCCCACTGCAGAAGTACCACTCGAGCCTCAGCACATGCAGGGACCGCTATCGACAACTATCGGAAACCAATGCTGACGCCAGCCAGGTGCTCGATGCCTGCGAGGGGGGCCAAGTGGGCCAGGTGCACCACATCGTGCAATATGTCTACTGCTCCACCATATTCCTGTCAAATGCGAAAGCATAGTGCGACGGGTTTGCGGGCATCCTGTACCGTGTGTAGTTGTGCACCCGCAGTCAACTGACTATTGCTTTTGACAGGCATAGTAGGCCTGCAAAGACCATGCAGTGTGCAGCCCCTACCGCCGTTCCTGGCAAAGTGAACTTCGTATATCTTCTGCTGGGAGGGACGGTGGGCCTGCACGCAGCAGGCAATCTCCCGGCCCCCCCCCGTTGCTTCTGTCGAAAACCCATGCAAAGTGATCTTGGGGCGTCTGCCAATGATCCAGATCTGGGGGCAAAGCTCATTTCTCTCTGTTGCCAGGGATGGCTCGGTCAAGAGCCAGCGCGAAGCGATAGCGGGGCGTCCGCGCAAGATCCATGTTTCTGTTGGTGCAGAGTGCATGGTATGGTGTTTTGCCAGGGATGGTGGTGGTGGGGTGTTGGCAATCGCGCGCGGCAGGAAGCATGCTGCCCCCCCCCGTGCCGCCGCTGTCTGAGCCAGTCCAGGGTGATCTCGGGGCGTCCGCGCATGATCCAGATTTGGGTGCAAAGTGCACGTGGTACGTTCTTTGCCAGGGATGGTGGGGGGGTTGTCATTGTCCCGGGTTTGTCGCCGGTCAGGTGGGAGAGTGTGTGCATATGACACAGGAGCTGTAGTCAAGCTGCCCCAAGCCGCAAGCCGTGTCGCTCACTCTCACCCGCGCTCCCACTACATACACAGGAAGCTGCCGCCATCGACGACCATCGGGAACTAAAATGCAGAAGCAAGCCAGGGGCGCGATGCCTGCAAGGGGCGCCTGTGCGCCACATTACCGTAATTACCATATGTCGACCGACCCACCATCCCTACCATAATCTATGCAAAGTGACGACGTCATTGCGAGCATTGTTTATTGAACGAGGGTTTGCACTCGCAAATTCTCTGCTGTTGTTACTGACAGGAATCGCAGGCCTGCTCAGAGTGTCCCAGGCAGGGTGCAATGTGATTTTTTGTTGGAGGGGTAGTGGGCCTGCACACAGCAGGCAACATGCCGTCCCCCCCGCCGTCCTTTCTCAAACACTCGTGCAAAGTTATCGTGGGGCGGGAGTCCGCGCATCATCCGGAGTTGGGTTCAACGTGCATGCTGTATTGACTCTTGAGAGGGGTCGCTTGGGGGGGAGTTGCACTGCACACAGCAGGCAATCCATGATCCAGGATGGCCCCCCGCCCCCATGCAGATGGGATCGAGCCCCTCCCCGCTGGATGGGTACGGCCGTGGCCCTCGCGAATGGGATCGCTCCCCCTCCCCTCCTGTGGTCATGGCCCTGTGGGCGTGGCGTGCTTCCCCCCCCATGTGGGTGTGGGGTGGTTCGTCGTCGTCGTCATCTTCCGTCGTCATCGTCGTCGTCTTGAGTCGGCGTCGACGTCGTCGTCGGCGTCGGCGACGGCGTCGTCGGCGTCGGCATAGGCATAGGCATAGGCATAGGCGTCGGCGTCGGCGCCTGCGTCGTCGTCGTCGGCGTCGGCGTCGTCGTTCGTCCCCCCCATCCCATTGGCAGGGGGGGCTGTGGAACGCTGGGACCCATCCCATCTGGGGGTGGTCTGTGAACCCTCGACCTGGGATCATATGTCGGCCCCCCGCCGTCCCTGTCAAAACCAATGCAAGATGATTGCGGGGCGTCCGCGCATGATGCAGATTCTGATGCAAAGTTCCTTCTGTGTTTTTGTCGCGCGGAATGGTGGGGGGATGTTGGCATTGCACCCGGCAGGCAATATGCTGCCCCCCGCCGTCCCTGTCAAAAACAGTGCAAAGTGATCTCGGGGCGTCTGCGCATGATTCAGATTTAGGTGCACAGTGCATGTTGTATATTTTTTTTGGCAGGGGGGTGGATGGGCATGCTCCCGGGTTTGTTGCCTGGTCGGTTGGTGGGAGGGGGCGCGTATCAATCAGGAACAATAGAAAGCCCTTCTCCAAAGGGGAAGAAGGGGATTGGAAGAGGAAATGCTCTTAACCACTCATGCCTTGTAGGACTGGTGGGGTTCCATTCAGAGCCTACTCCGGGAGAGGTCCAGGCAGCAGCAGTATCAGTACTTGTTTCCCCTCATCCTAGGGGCCTCGTGATCATCGGCGGCGTCGTCCTCGCGTCGTCGGCGGCGTCGTCGTCATCCAGCGCCTCGCCGGGGCCTCGCGGTCGTCCGCGGGGGCACCGTGTGTCCCCACGCTGACGTCGCCGATGCATCGCCGACGTCGCCGATGCATCGCCGACACATCGGCGATGCACTGGCGATGCGGCGCGATCCTTCGACCCCATCTATTCGGAGCCCAGCTGGGAGGCCTCCGACGATGGGGACGAATTATCCCAGTGCGTCCCTACCTAGGAGTTGGAGCCTCTAGGAAAGCAACATTAGTAGGAGCGGTAAACGCCGTCCTCCTCCTTCTCATCGTCGTAGTTGTAGCAGTAGCGGTATTAGTAGTAGTAGTAGTAGTAGTAGTAGTAGTAGTAGTAGTAGTAGTAGTAGTAGTAGTAGTAGTAATAGTAGTAGTAGTAGTAGTAGTAGTAGTAGTAGTAGTAGTAGTAGTAGTAGTAGTAGTAGTAGTAGTAGTAGCGCCAGAACCAACGACGCCACGCCGTAAGTGAAGCAGCAGCAGACGCAGGCAGCAAGTCGCCGAGACAGCAGCAAAAACAAGCAGGCACGGAGATGAGTGTGGGGCACTGGGGAGTTTTTTACACCTACATCTATATCTACACCTACATCTACATCGACACCTACATCTACATCTAGACCTACATATACATCTACACCCACAGCTACATCTACATCTACACCTGCATCTACATCTACATCTACATGAACAGCGAGACTCACATCTACATATACATCTACACCTACATCCACATCTACACCTACACCTACATCTACATCTACATCGACACTTTCGCATTGGTTTTGCTTTTGCTTTGCATCGCCTTTGCTTTTGCTCTTGCTTTTGCCCTTTGCCTTTGCTTTTGCTTTTGCTGTTGCTGTTGCTTCTGCTTCGCTGTTGTTTTTGTGTTTGCTTGGTGTTGCTTTTGCTTTGCCTGCGCACAGACACACACACACACGCATGTTTCTGCATTCGCTCACCGGGTGTGCTTGAGAATGCTCCGGATCCAGCAATAGTGGATGTTGTGTTGCGCTATGCAATGCTATGCTCTGCTCTGCTATGCTATGCTATGCTATGCTATGCTATGCTGCGCAATGCTCAGCTGGGCTAGGCTAGGCTAGGCTATGTAATGCTATGCTATGCTATGCTATGCTGCGGTATGCTATGCTGCACTATGCTATGCTACGCCATGCTATGCTATGCTATGCTATGCTATGCTATGCTTTTGCTATGCCTTCGCTTTTGCCTTCACTTTTGCTTTTGCTTTTGCTTGGCACCCAGGGAGCGCAACTGTGGGAACCGCGCGTTTTCTTTTTAGCTTTGCTGTTGCGTTTGCTTGGCTCCCAGGGAACCAGGGGAACCAGCCTGGGGCGGGTTACATTGGCCGGTCCTTTAAGCTAAGCGAGTAAGAACCCTTCTAGGCAGAGCCTAGGTAGGGAAAAAGACAAACTGCACCGGCATGCAGTCGAGACGCCGGAAGAAGGGGCAGTGCCGGTGCGGAGAGGGCCCGCTCTTTCTCAGGTGTCCTTCCACGGTTAAGCTTCTGGCGCTCCTCGCCCAGCCAGGCGCTGCCAGGGCCCGAGATGCAGGGTTGGATTTGAATGCTGTTTTGCTGGGCTTCGGCTGGGTTTCGTTTTCTCGTTTTGGCAGGAGTTACAGGAGAACAGGCAGAGCAGAGCGAAGCACAAACCGAAGACAAAACGAAAAACAACTTCTAGGTCCAGCCCTGCCGAGAGGGGCTCCCCTCAAGTCCTCATTGTCGCAGCTTCACTGTCGTCTTCCGAGGTTCCGCGCGGATCTCTTGGATCTGCGTAGGATTAAGTCGGGCATGTCCCTCGACGGGAGGACTGTTCAAGCATAGCAAGACAAACAGTCTGGGGACGATTCTGTTCTGGTATTCTTTCGCTATTGTTCAGCATGTTTCGACCATTTCCCATTCTTCCTCCCAGACCCGCCTGTAGGGGCACACGCCCGACCTGAGCGCAGGACCTCCCGGGTGCTCCCGGAACCCCGTGCGCGCCCCGGCCCCCGGCGCGCCGCCGAGGCCGCCGCCGCCGCGCGCGGGCGGACGCATGAGCTCGGACTGGCAGAAGCTCGGGGAGGACACCTGGTACCGGAAGCGCAAGGCGCGGGCGCCCAGCCTGCTTGGGAAGGCCGCGATTGGTGTAGCCGAGGCGCCAAAAGAAGGGCCGCTTTTGGTTCGGGAGGGGCTCGATGCTCCTCAGGTCCTTCCATGGCTGTTTCTCTAGCGCTCCTCGTCCACGCAGGCACTTATGTCGGAGGTTGACAGACCTCCTACCCTGACACGTCGATCAGCGAATGGGCCGCTTTCGGTTCGCGAGAGGGCGTCGCGGCCGTCGTCTTTGCGGGTCCAGGTCCGTCGGTTTCGGTCCCAGGCCGTTTTCCTTAAAGTGAGGTTTACTAAAGGGAGAGGTTTGTCCATCGCCGCATTCTCCCCGCCTCGCCCTCTTCGCCCTCTTCCTCCTCGCCCTCCTCGCCCTCGGCCTCGACGTCCTCCTCGCCCTCAATTCCTTGTCATTCTGGATGATTTCTCCCTGTCGCACCCCGAGGCAAGTTTTTAAAGGCGGGCCCGGCGTTTCGCCCCAGACTTCCTCACCATCAATGACCCCGGAAGCTTCAAAAGTGGCAACAGTTTCACAGAAGGAGGGCGGGTGGTTTTCAAAATGTGGCTCTCTCTTTAGTGCGGTGCACAATCGTTTTGAACACATGCAAGAGTTTCACGGATGGGGGGCGGGTAGTTTTCAAAATGTGGCTCTCGCCTTAGCGCCGCACACATTCGTTTTCAACACTTGCAAGAGTTTCACGGATTGAGGGCGCGTGGTTTTCAAAATAGGGCTCTCGCCTTAGCGCGACGCACATTCGTTTAAAATATTTGCAAGAGTTTTTCTTGCATTGAGGGCAGGTCGTCGTTTTCAAAATAGTGCTCTTGCCTTAGCGCGGCGCACATTCGTTGAAAACATTTGCAACAGCTTCACTGACTGAGGGCGGGTCGTTTTCAAAGTGTGACTCTCGCTTTAGCGCCGCGCACATTCGTTTGTAAAACTTGCAGATTGAGGGCGGTTCTTTTTCAAACTGTGGCTCTCGCCTTAGCGCGGCGCACATTCGTTTTCAACACTTGCAAGAGTTTCACGGATTGAGGGCGAGTGGTTTTCAACATGTGGTTCTCGCCTTAGCGCGGCGCACACTCCTTCGAAACATTTGCAGCAATTTTCTTGGATTGAGGGCGAGTAGTTTTCAAAATAGGGCTCTCGCCTTAGCGCGGCGCACATCCGTTTTAAATATGTGCAAGAGCTTCGCGGATTGAGGGCGGTTGGTTTTCAAAATGTGGTTCTCGCCTTAGCGCCGCGCATATTCTTTTACACGAATTGCAAGAGTTTCGTGTATTCCCATCATCAGCGTACCAGGCATGATGTGTTGGAAGGATTCAAGATTATGCTGGTGCAACAGTTACATCGGTTCTCTGTGCCGAAGTCCTAGGAATGGCGTTCTTGCACGATCCAGGAGCGCCAAGACGCAACAGTCAGGTTGATTTGTGGCGTTGGAATCCCGAGAACAATGTTTTGGCATGCACCAGGGTCTCTACTTAAACGGGTGTCTTCCAACGAGGAAATTCCATCAATGGAAATGAACCGTTGTAGGGGCCTATGAGGAGGGAGCTTGGAGGGATGGTTCACTCCAACGTCGTTGATGACACTTGGATTTACACTGGTCGTCCTCCTCCTCCTCCTCCTCCTCCTCCGCCCTCCCCGCTTTCGTCGTCCTCGCCTTCCTCGCCCTCGTCGTCCTCCTATTCCTCGTCCTTCCTCGTCCTCCCTCGTCCCCCTATTCGTCGTCCTCCTACTCCTCGCCCCTCGCGGCCACGGCCGGGGAGGGGGGCGCTTAGACGTGAGCGGCGAGGTCGGCGAGCGGCTGCCACGAGCGGGCCGCTGGAGCGCGGGGCGGCCGCCGGGGGGAGTCCCGTGGCCTCGGCTGCTCCCGGGGCGCCTCCCGCACCCCTCCGCGAAACGTCACGCGAGTTTTCCCGCGACGCGCCGGCGCCCCGAGGCCCCCAGATTTCGGGGCCTAAGAGACGGGGGTCAGTGCAAACGGGGGTCAGCCAGAGCGCCAGGTCCTGCAGGATCCTGCGAAGGCCCCCTCTGGCTGACCCGGGTCAGCGAGCCGCTCGAGGCCGCGAGGCGGCCGCGCATATTGGCTGACCCGGGTTTGCGAAGACCTGCGTTGCCGTTTTTTTTCCTGCATTGCAGTTTTTGGTTTCCTATTGACCCGGGTCAGAAGATCCCCGAATATTTGAATGTTGGCGCCGAAGCGCGTGGCTTCAAAGTTCCCGACGGCGTCCGCGCACCGCGCCGCGCGCGCAGCTGAACATCGGAATTGGGGGGAGGGGGGTCGGCAAAACTTGCTTGAAGTTTCGTGGGGGGTCTGCAGATTCGAAGAAGAAAAGTCGATGATCCTCAGGACGGGAGGTATCCCAATGTGTCTCAACCCCGTTCGGCCGGTGCCGGCCATCGTTGCGCCACGTCGTACTTACGGGCTTCGATGGACCTGCACACGTTGGCGCCAACGCACGTTCTGAGGACCACCGAAAAAGGCGCCATTCACACAAGCTCTTGGCGCTCCGCGCGGCTTTCTGGCATCGGCGCACGGCCCCCCCCCCCGGCGGCGCCTCCGGCGCCGCCACTGGCGCGCGGAGCGCGCCAGGGAGGGGGTGTCCTGCGCGGATCCCAGGAATCCGCGCGGAGCGCCAAAAGTTTGTGTTTGTGGCGTTCTTCCTTCTGCTATAGCTGGGGCCCGAGCAGACGGGGTCGGAGGATCGCGCCGCATCCCCGATTGATCGGCGATGCGGCTCGATGCGGAGCGCGATGTTCTCCACGCCGACGTCGCCAATGCATCGCCGACGTCGCCGATGCATCGCCCGTGCATCGCCAATGCATCGCCGATGCATCACCGATGCATAGGCGATGCGGCGCGATCCTTCGACCCCATTTGCTCCGACCCCAACTTGGAGGCCTCTAGAGTGTACATCGGTGGTTCACGGGCTCCTCCCTCCTCCCACCCTAGCGCTCTGTCCCTGTCCTCTTTCGTGCCTCAACTCTCTCCGGGTGCACCCCACCGCTTGTTGACCGGCGCCTGATTGTCTTGGACCACTTGGCGCCCGTGGACTTAGGCAGTGTATCAGTGGTGCAGTCGAGGCGCCAAAAGAAGGGCCGCTTTTGGTTCGGAAGGGGCTCGATGCTCCTCAGGTCCTTCCATGGCTGTTTCTCTAGCGCTCCTCGTCCACGCAGGCGCTTATGTCGGAGGTTGATAGACCACCTACCCTGACACGCCGATTAGCGAATGGGCCGTTTTCGGTTCGCGAGAAGGCGTCGCGGCCGTTGGGTTTGCGGGTCGAGGTCTGTCGGTTTCGGTCGTAGGCCGTTTTCATTAAATGGAGGTTTATTAAAAGGGAGGTTTGTCCATTGCCGATTATGGGCCAGGGGTTTCGCTCCTCACTGAGCGTTCCTTGTTTCAGCAGCCCGACATGCACTCCTTCGGTTGCTCCCATGGTGTTGCGACCCTCGGGTGTGCATCGGTGGTGAGGCAGTGAATCTTGAACCATGTTCAGCTGCCTGTCGCCCCCCGTCTTGACAGCTCCTGCAGGGGTTGGCGCAGGAAGGTTCATTGGATTCGACTGGACATCGCTGGAGTCAATTAACTATGGGACGACGTTGGCTTCGCCTTGGCTTCATATCGAAGACGCCTACGGCGAATCGCCTCCGCCCCCTGCCTTTTGGAATCGCCAATGTGGCTGAGCGGTGTGGCAAGAGCTCTGCCAAGCTATCGGGCCATGTGTTCCCCCAAACCTTGTAAAAACCCTTCGGGGAACACTTGGGGGAGGGTGGCGGGGAACATGAGGAGGAGGAGGAGGAGGAGGAGGAGGAGGAGGAGGAGGAGAAGGAGGAGGAGGAGGAGGAGGAGGAGGAGGAAGAGAAGGAGGAGGAGGAGGAGGCATCTTGGGAGCCTCTGGGGGCACTCTTGAGGCCTCCTTGGAGCTTCCTGTGAGCCTGTCGAGTGCATCTTGGAGGCCTCCTTGGGCCTCTTGGCTTCTCCGGGGGGCCTCTCTGGCCGTCTTGGGCATTCCTGGCCCGTCTGGCGCCGGCGGAGGCCGTCTTGGGGGCCTCTCTGGGCCGACTTTGGGCCCTCTTGGGGTGCTCCAGGGCCGTCTTAGAGGCCATCTTGGGCGTCTGAGAGGCTTCTTGGGCCTTCGGGCCCTCTTGGGGCCGGCTTCGGGCCCTCTTGGGCCTTTCTGGGGCCATTGTGGAAGGCCTCGTGGGCGATCCTGGGGCGATCTTTGGGGACTCTTTGGCCGTCTCGGGCCGTCGGAAGATCGAAGAGACGCAAATGCCAAACTCCTTCAAAAAGCAAAGGAAGACCAATCATATCGGCTCCTTCGGGCCTTCCTGGAGGACCTCTTGGGGGCCTGTGGGGCCGTTTTGGAGACCTCTTGGGGGCCTCTTGGGCCGTCTTGGGCCATCTTGGAGTTATCTTTGGCCGTCTGGATGGCCTCCTGGCACGTCGGACGCCGTCGGAAGCCGTGTCTGGCCGTCGTCTTGAGGGCCTCTTTGGGCCGACGTGGGGCCCTCTTGGGGTGCTCCAGGACCGTCTTGGAAGCCATGTTGGGCGTCTTGGAGGCCTCGTGGGCAGTCTTGGGTCCCTCTGGGGGCCGTCTTCGGGGCCTCTTGGGCCGTTCTGGGGCCCTCTTGAAGGCCTCTTGGGCGATCTTGGGGCGACCTTTGGGGTCCAGAGGGCACCGGCAGCGCCGCGACCAGCAGCACAACAGAAGCAGAAACCAGGGGCTCGCGCGGCGTTCGCCCCGAGCAAGTTGGCTAAATGGACTGACCAGCCTTCGCTCTTCAGGAGTATCTGCCCGACAGAGCTGGACGGGTCAGTTCGACCCCAACTGCGCCCCCGCCCCCAGTGAGGAGCCCCCGCCCTGTCGGAGGGAGTGGCGAAGAGAGACGTAACGCAGCGACATTCCTCGGCGGCGATGGGGAGGGCAGCAAGTGCCGAGGGCGAGGCATGCTCCCGCCGCTCGTTTAAGCGGGTGACGCCCGGGGCGGTCTGCATC